GCCAGGGAAAAAGAATTTTATTCAGGGAAGGAGGGGGGGAAAAAAAAAAAAACCAAACAACAAAAAAGGCAATTTCTCTACAGGCGGAACAGAGGCTGCACAGTGCAGCACAGAGCAACATTTTGCTCCCCGTCCACCAGCTCCTGCTTATAAATGAGCACTTTATCCCCAAGTATATCCCACTGCGTCGCCCTTTATGAAGGGCAGGGTCTGAGCCACCTTCACCCTCCGCAATCGCTTGTCCTCACTAATCGCAACTCGTTGGCTTAGTGACTGCTGATGGGCTTCGTCATCAGGGTATCAAGCTCCTAACGAGAAAAGAGCCACCTGGGCACGGCTTTGGTTGGGGGGGTCTGCCGGGGCACCCACAGCTGCCACCCACGGGGGGCTGGGTGGGCAACACCTCCAGCCTTCGACCGTTCCCCCCCGCCCACGGAGGGGGAAGCCCACTCGTGCAGGCGTGAAAAGTGAGTGCTCTTGCTCAGGGGAGCCCAGCCAGTATAGCTGCGCGTAAGTGAGGGCAATAATAATAATAATTACAATATGATATACATTTCACATCTATAGAACCGCCTGTAAATCAGATCGTGCCCTGACGGGGCAGCACGGGCAAACTGACCCGCACAGCGATCCAACACAATAACCACTCCAGCAAGAGGGAAGGACAGAAAGTTTGAAGAAACTCATTTATTCTAAAAATACTCAACTTCTTTGTTTTAAATAGTATTTGGTTTCACTTACTGCTCTCGCACTTCCCCATTCCTCAAGCGTTACAAAAATGCTTGAACGGAGCAACTCTGTGGATCTGAAGTCCGACAGAAGACTTACACGGTTTTGGGTAGTTACTCCACCGTCCTTCGCCCTAACCTCCTCCCTCAGGCGCTGCGTAGTTTCTAGTCGCAAGTTGGGGATAACGAACTACTTCGTACCTTCACATTTTGAGTATTTCCCATTTTACGTAAGAAGGCCAAGTTACACAAAAGTGCGTTATAACGAACAGTCAAATGTTCTTCTACGCAACCCATTTTGCCCGTAAGGTATTCGGCCAACAAAGATACTGCTTTTGGGGACCGAAACCCTACCTTTTGCGCATCTCCGGTGAAGTAGGCAATGGTCAAGGTGGGCAGGATCATGAAGAGTGCATTGTAATAGAGCAGACCGTACTTCCCCAGCTCCTAGAAATAAGAAACATCTGTGTACTCAAGCTGGTTCCAAACAGGAACATAAAGTCTCATTCACATCGCTACTGAAGACTGGGTCTTGTGAGTTAAATCCCTGTGGGGCTCTTGGAGACAGAAGAGTTGGAGGTAGGGGGTTATGTGTATGTAAAAATGTATGTATTTATAATTT